GGATGGTCAACAGCAGCCTCTTCTCTAAGATGAGCTCTGGGGCCCCCCTTCCGAAGCACAGCTCCTAGGAAAGTGTGCAGAGGTCCGGTCCCTCCCCCACCCCCCCGCTCCTCCCCCAGATGTAGTCGCTCAAGTGAGGAGCTGGTGGGCTATGGGGTAGGTGCTCTGCTGGGTCGGGGGAAGCAGGCTAAGGTTTGGATCCCACATCTTTGAATGCTGTTGCATGTGGGGTCCTCAGAGGAGAGAATGGAAGGCAGGTGCAAGGATGCAGGCATGTCTGAGATTGCAGGGAAGAGGAGGGCCTCTGCCTCTGACCCTGAAGGCCGGCCCTGGTCACACTGGGGCTTAGGGAGACAAATTACCTCATAGGAGGAGCATGGGTTTTGGCCTTGGGTTCAAATCCCAGCTCCACTACGTGTTAGCTAAATAATTTTTTAAAAAAGATTTATTTGTTTATTTGAAAGAGAAAGAGAGCAGGAGTGAGAGCAGGGGGAGGGGCAGAGAGAGAGGGAGAGAAGCGGACTCCACACTGAGCATGGAGCCCAAAGTGGGGCTCGATCCCACAAGCCCGAGATCGTGATCGGAGCCGAAACCAAGGGTCGGACGCTCAGATGACTGCACCACCCGGTTAGCCCCCATGTTAGCTAAATCATTTTTGAGACAATAATTTCTCTGAGCCCCAGTTTCCTCATTTTGAAAATGGGAATACTAATATCAGTAATTGTCCCAGGGTTATTCTGAATACAGTGTCTCGCCTATCTGCGAAACGCTCCATAAATTGTACTTTTCACTAGTAAGCTTCGAGGAACATAGAGAAAGGGCCGGGTGCTGTGGCCTTTCTATTGTTGGGGACCTGATCATGTTTTCAATCCCATAGGCTCAGAGGACCTGAAAACAAAACAAGAGAAGGAGTGGGCTATTCCCCTAAACTCAGCCTTAGCCCCTACCCTCTATCCTCACTAAATCCTGCTTTCTGGTGGCCCAGCGAGTACGGCGCCTGCTGGTTCTATAGCCTGTGGCCTCCGGGCACTCCTGGACAAGGAGACAAAGCAGAGGCAGGAGCTGGGTCATATTCTGATTTCTCAGCAGGTTCATTCAAGGGGAGTGGTGCAGGAGGGAGGGTGAAAAGTCCCAGGTATTTCCGCACTTAGCGAAAAGATTCTATTTTCACTGCTAAGGAGGCAAGTAGAGCGACAGAAGAGGAAACACACAGACCACCCCAGACCCAGAGAAGCCTCACGTGCCTTATGATTAGGCCAGACAGGTGGGAACGTGAGGACTAGTTCAAGAGGTTCGAGAAAGGCATTGCAGGTCTCCTAAAATGCTGCTCCCCACATATTCACTAAGCCTTGAAGACCACATTTAACCAGTCTGGAGAGGTTCTGCTTCTTTGGGCTGTCTCCGGAAGGCAGATCTGGGAACCTGGTGGAAGGCGGAGGGATTGAGTGGCTCTGGGTACCATGTAGCCTTTCCGCCTGGGAGGCATGGGGCACCTGAAGGCTGGGGGTGGACAGTCAAGGCAGATGACAATATACGGTGTGTGTGTTCCTATATGGGTCGAGCAGGTTGGGTTTCCTGACCCTCTCCGGGCTAAGAAATGATTTTTTTGCCTCTCTTCTTGGATTCCTGCTGTGGACAAACACCCCTGGGAGGGGCAATACTCAGAGCATCAGGCATTTTCTGCTCAGGGCACCTGCTACCTTAGACCCTTTTCTGAAATCGGGCCTGGGTGAGGCAGGGGCTCAGATTCGCTGGGGTGCTGTCTACAATGCACCTACCTTGGTCCCAGCCCGGGAGCCTCTGATTTAGCAGAGAACAGAACTTGGGCACTTGCAGCTCCAGATGGCCACCCAGCAATTCCAGGTGCTCTGGGCCCAGAGTTCCTGGGTGGGGCTGCACGAGAGGCAAGGATGCCTATGGCCCCGAGGTGCTGGGAGATTCCAACACGAGAGCCAACTTATTCCATCTCCTTCCAAAATGTGACCCTGCGTGGATACACAGTGAGACCCCGTCAGAGGGCAGCAGAAGCGTGAAGCCCCCTGGCTTCTGGAAGCCGGGACGGTGATGTCTCCAGCAGGGGTGGCGGGCTGTCCAGAGAGTGGAGCAGTACCCCCCAGGAGAAGCTGGGGACCCACGTCATCATCCGCAGGACTAGTTTCATGAAGCATCAACTGACAGGAGCTTAGCGACCATCTCCTCTAACCCCTCAATGTGCAAGTGAGGAAGTTAACTTAGATGGTCCGTGTATGTCTCAGGGGAAGCTCTTAGCAGAGTCTTGACCGAATCCTGGAGAACCCAGGGCTCTTCCTCTCCCTGCAAAGGAGCATGGGAGGCCCATGGGGGGGCGGAGCCAGCCTTAAATGAGTTCCATGTAATGAAAATTTTGCAATGCTGTGGGAGAAACCACCACCCTGAAATTCACAAAATAACAGGTGGATGTGAGATATGCACACCTGACGTGAGTTCTCTGAATAATGCTTGGGTGTAATAAGATGAAAAAAAATCTGAAAATGAAAAGGTATAATGAGATATACACAACTGAAGGGAATTGTCTTAAATGGCTGATTGTAATGAGATGTACATAAATTGTAAGGCTTGTAATGAAATGAAAAAAATATTCTTGCTTGATAATACTGGGTGTAATGTCTACACCTGAAATAAGTCGTCTCACCGCGCTGAGTGTAATGAGATGCACATAATTTTAAAGAGTGTAATGAGATGAAAAATAAATCAAACACTTGTCTTAAAATGAAAGATGTACAAAGATGCACACACCTGAAGGGCATTGCCCTAAATGGGTTCGCTTTAATGAGATGCATTTAATTTGCAAGGGGGCTAAATGAGATTGGCCCAGGAGAGGCTGAGAAATATAAAACTATAAGATATGTACACTTGAAAGTGGTATAGTAAGATCTGCCTCATCTGTGGGATGGAAATAAGATGTCAGAGTGGAAATGCACAGAGTATGACGCAATTGATCGGCATTCTCTCTGCCAGTCCTGCTCGATCCCTTGCCCGTGAGGCTCTGCAAAGTTGAATTGCCCTCTGTCCCCTGTATGATGCCAGATACCTAGTAGACATCTGCGAATCTCACTGGCTGAATAACGGGGCTGCAGTCTATATAGCGAAAGGAAGTTAAAGGGAGCAGCTATAAACAAGTAACTTCTAAAAGGCAACATAAAACTATTTCTTTCTTTTTTTGAGAGGAGAGGGCGGAGGGGTGGGTGGGGGGAAGGAAGAGGCAGAGGGAGGGAGAGAGAATCTTAAACAGGTTCCACACCCAGCACAGAGCCCGTGGCAGAGCTGGATCTCACGACCCTGAGATCATGACCTGAGCCGAAACTGAGGGTCCGCTGCTTGACCGACTGAGCCACACAGGTGTTCCAAAAACTATTTTCTGAGAGTAGTGTTTCTCAAAGTCCTTAGGCATCTCGCCTTGGAGTCTGGGAAAAAGTCGGTCACGCGATCAAATCTGCATATAACAAGCAACGCTGGCAGGTTTTATGCCCCAGGGTTAACGTTTGCCTGTAGAGGGCAGGTAGGCAGGTAACAAGAGTGAAGATGTCTGATGCGGGACACAGGCATACTTTGCAGTGAAAGGTAGGAATATCTTCACTTCCACAGATACGTTCTCTCGGATTTTTTTTTTTTTTCCAAAGGCAGAGCCTCTTGGACTGTTTTGTTTTATCACACTTGATGGAGCAGTGGGTATGGAGAAATAGTTCCTTTCTTAAAAGCAAGAATGCAGATATTGGAAGGAATGTCAAAAAAAAAAAAAAGGAAAAAAATAAAAGGGAGTGGGGAGCATAATTAACCAATGAGCAACCAAGCAGTGATGACCTGACCTGAACGTGGCAAGTGGCACTCAGTGTCAATGTTGGGGAGACCACGTGCATGGCCAATGTCGTGACAGCCTGGAGAGCACATCATAAGGGGTAGCAATGATTCGATTACACCCTGATGTGTCTGTGTAGGAATATAGGTCCTGAGTCGCAGTTCTCTATCTTTTAAATGTTGGCACAAAAATTTTTAGAAACAATATTGGTCCAAACAGAACATATCTGGGAGCTGTATTTGATCCGAACGCCACATTGGACCTGAGAGTCTTGTTTGCAACTCTGAACGATCACGTTTGAGCTCACTGGACCAGGATGAGGTCATATTATAACCAGTAGGGGGATGTTACCAACACACATTCAGTCTCAGTGTTTTCCTAGGATGTGTAAACTCCCTGAAGGCAAGAACTTCGTCTTTGTTGATCACAGTTGTATCCTCTGTATCGGAAACTGCCTGAGACCGAGTCAGTGCTCAGTAAATACACGTCGGGTGAATGAGTGAGTGTGACAGAACCATTGCCCTCATCTGGCCGTGTTCAAGGTAGCAGAGGGATCTCTTGGTCAAGACAGTATAGCTCTTGCTCTGGCCATCAGCTCCCAGGAGCAGGAAGGAAGCTTCCAACCTGAAAGGTCTGCCCTGCTGGGGTAGGGGTTGGGGCCAGAAGTCTGCCGGCCCGGTTTCCAGGGTCCTGACACCAGCACCCAGTCCCCTCCTGCGTGGTCCCTTTTCTCGTACTTCCACAGGGACTGTGGCACATCTTTTCCGTGGGTTGCGTAGGACTTGGTCATGCACGGAGAGAGAGGTGGCTGCCGCATCGCAAATGGTTTGGGAAACCCCCTTTTCATTGGTAGCATGGTTGAAAAGCTGCCAGAACTTGATGGAAAAACTGAGGAAGGGGTGAGAGAGGCTGCGGCAGCTACTCTGTAATTTCTTAGAGGAGTGTTGCGTAGACTGTATTTTGTGGAATACCAGTAAAACTCGAATAGATACTACTTGAAAAAAAAGGCAAATAAATCTGGAGAACAGGATAAACAGGTTTCTTCCTGCAGGACTCCTCAGAGCCTTTACTATGCTGGTGTGCCTTATGGAACCCCACCAGCAAAATAGAATATGCAGTTCATCCTAGATTAATCTGGCCACAGATTTTTTGTATTTTTGTGTGTGGTTTTTTTTTTTTTTTTTTTTTTTGATGGCATGTCTTTTAACAGTGTCTTCCTTGGAAAACACTTCTTTGAAAGTCTGCTGGTTTCCCAGCTCTGGGAGATGGGGCTCTAAGGTACCCTCTTCTTGCGGGTCTTGAGACTTTTTTACTGCCTAGCGGTGGCGGTCTGTGTTTGCAGACTCTCTCGGTATGACGGGAGGCTTGGGGTCTTTGAGAGCGGTGACCTAGGGAGCACAGGGCTGCGTGCAGGCCCATTTTGCCCATGTGAGCACTCCCTTCCCCACTTTCAGCCTGGCTGGAGGGTGTCCACAGGTAAGTGCAGACTCCCCGGCCTTTGTGAATGTGAACAAGGGACGGCCCCTCTTGCTCCTAAACCGATACCCTGGACATCTCACCAACAGTGCCCAGGTAAGGAAAACTCTGGGCTGAAAGTAACAAGAAAGCTTGCTTACTTGGGGTTAGGAGCTGTGCCTAAGTTTCCACTTGCCCCTGGGGGATACAGTGCTGAGCCCTGGGGTTCAGAGGGCAGGCTCCTCTCTGGACACAGCTCTAGGATTAAAAGCGACAGTCAAGACTTCCTCTCCTTTCCAATTCCTGGGCCCTGGGTGGACGTGGGAGAACTGGGGGAGAGGCAGTGGTGCCACCAGCTTTGAGGATGAAAACCCTTGGAGCCTAGGATGCCTCGGGGAAAAGCAAAGGCCTTTGAAGGAGGTAGGGTATGGTGCAGGAAGGGACCGCATTCTGAGCGCGCCACTGCTATGGGGGAGAATTGCCAGGAGAGGGCAGTGCAGAGCGTCCTCCGGTCTTCTCTCTCTTCTCTCTTTGTCTTTGAGCCGGACACGTATGCCAAACGTGGCTGTCTTTTTGCCCAGACAGGTAAACTGAGGTCACTCAGAGAGCCTTCTACCTTGTTCCCTTCCATAGGTATTTAGTTCAACAAGAGGTAGGCTAAGGCCTCCAAATTTTCTCCGGTCCAGGGTCCCACTAACCACTAACCACGGAAAAAGAATTGCGCACCAGAATTATGGTAGGTAATAAGATTTACTGAAAACTTCTCGGCCACATTCGGTACTGGTTTGGTGGATACATCAGAGGGAGGTTGCATAACATTAGGCAGGTGGAGGGGCTGGGAGGAGGATGTGTGGGCCTGTGTGCCGTTTGCCTGTGCTGGGTGGATTGCCGTCCAAAGTGGTAGGTGAAAGGGTGTGTGTGTGTGTGTGTGTGTGTGTGATGTGTGAGGGAGAGAGAGAGAGAGAACAAGAAAGACGAACCAGAAAAGGAAATGTATTTTATCCCACTGCACATTGCAAAAGTCTCACGCCAAAAAAGCTAGACTTTCCTCTACTTATGGCATCAAAAGGGAGTAAAAAATGATTGGATCACCCAGATTATAAATAAGGTTATTTGTTTCTCAAAAATCCCTATTAAAACATTAAATATCAGCTCTTTTGGGGGAGAAATACATTCATTTCAGGGAGACCTCAGGAAAGCGACCATCTTTTTGCTCCACCCCAACCAGGTGGGGGAGGGGAAGCCCCAGAGGGCCCTGAGGGTCCCCTCAGGTTGAGCCAGGTAGCCACTCGCATCCTGCCACTGAAGGAGATGGCCAATGCACAATTTACAAATGAAACGGCAAGTCCATTAAATTAAAATCCAATGGAAAACACACGTGTGATCAGTCCTGTCATTCACAGCCAAGGGGTGGGAGAAGAGGGGAGGAGGGGTGCCAATCATGGGGGCCTGGAAGTTGGGGTGGGAGGGTGTGAGTTAGGGCAGGTGATGGAAAGCCTCCTCCTCGAGGGAGCCCCAGTTCCTCCAGTGCTGTGTGTCATGGTGGTGGGTAGATCAACCAGGTGTGTGGGGGTGGGGCACCACTTAGCGCTGGGGCACCATTTCTCTGGGCCCTCGCCCACACTTCGGATATTGATGGGAAGAGGGATGTAGCACCTTCTCCAACCCCTGGCTTCCCACTGGACTGGATGTTTCTTTTCCAATGTTTCTTCTGCCTTCTCTGAAGGATAGAATGAAGAAGAGAGCAAAATGGGGGCTGGTGGAGCCAGCCTGGGAGCAAGGGGACAGCCATGGGGGGCTGAGGGCCGGGACATCTGAGGAGCTCCATCTGAGGGCTGGAACATCTGGGATAAGACACCATTGTCCTGTTGTTACAGGAGCTGAGTTCTGTGACCACCTAGGGATGGCTGTGGTCCCCAAAGTCATCTTGATATGGCTCCTAGCTCAGGTTCTGCCATCTCCTTGGGTCCTGGAGCCAACCCGGGGGAAGGGATTCCTCTTAACCCCCTACAATCCGAGCCTGCCAGCTTACCATTCATTCTGGGGGGGGGGGAGAGAGAGAGAAGGTGTCTGTGGTGGCTCCTGCCCTCTCTCCCAAGTCCACGGTTGCCCATGCCTGAGACAGGTTCTTGGAGGAATGAGCTGGAGCCTTCGGGAGCCCAGGTCCCGCTCCGATATGCAGGATGTTGCGCCTCAGGGCCTCCCACTCTGCTAGCCACTGGTGATGCGTCTGGGCTCCTCCTGCCCTTGAATGTCTGTCAAGGAGCTGAGAACCTCACAGGGGTGGAACCCAGACCCCCTTGACTCTCCCTTTCCTCCTAACTCTGTCCCTGGCAAGGCTCACTCTGAACAGCACCGATCCGCCTCACAGTACAGGGCTTGTAAACAACTCAAGTCCTTCAGTGGGGGGCGGGGCATGGGTGCCATCTGTCCTTAGGCATTTGGTGAGTCCAGCTCTCACTCCTGCCGTTCCGTGTAGGCTGCTTGACCGGCCCCACAAACGGAGTCCTCTGCAGTTCAGGGAAGTGGGGCTGGGGTGCTCATTGAAGCTTGGTAGTTGGGAAGGAGCAGGTGTCTCCTCTGCATTTCTTCAAGCTACTGATTTGGGGAAGCTAGGGCCAACTTCCTCGGTGCTGCCTGCGGTGCCCCCCTCCCTCCCACCCTGGAGCCTTCCTGACGACACTCCTCTCCTGCTCGGTGACCAGTGCCATCTGGGCTGCCAACTATTCCAGGGAGTCACTGTGTTCCAAGCCCAGGTCGCTGACATTTGTCGTCTGAAGCTCGTCGGCCTCCTCCTCCAGCTCCTCTTCCTCCTCCTCTTCCATCTCATCCTCATCCTCTTCTTCTGTCCCATCCAATGAGTCATCGTGTGCAGCCATCATGGCCTGTTGCATGGCCATTGTGGCATTGTCTGAGGACAGGGACTGCAGGTTGTCCAAGCTGATGGAACCTACGCAAGAGGAGAAGACAAGGGTCAGGCGCAGGAACCTCAGTGTTGGATAGAGTGGCAGAGACTGGCTCATGGAGTGGTCGACAGTTCCCAGGTGGGAAGTCCCCTGGCCCATGCGTTTGTTAGCCCCTCCCTGCCCCATCCCAAGCAGCAGCGCTCCTAGTTACCGTTCACTGAGCATCTTCTCGGTAAGGATTTTAAAGACTTTGACTTTCTAACAATTCTGTACAGTAGGTCTTATCATCCCCATTCTAAAGAGGAGGAAACTGAGTCTCAGATGGTTAAGGCATTAGCTCAAGGTGACGGTCAGGCATGATGGAGTTGGGATTCTCCCCTTGGTCCATCTAGCTCAAAATCTGTGTATTTCCGCTACACTTGACATGGCAATTGGCCAGCACAGAGGAACCTGAACGCAACCATAGATATGCACACGAAGGCATGTACATGCACACACACACCTCCACTCCACTTCCCACACAGAGCTATCTTCACGTGCCAAGCTATAAAATGTCTGGCTCATTGAATTATTCATTGTGCACCAGGCGACCGGCAATTAGAAAAGTGTATATGGAGGATGTGATGGAGAAGCTGGGAAAACAAAGCTCTTCCTGGCCTCCGTTCACAAGCCAGCTGCCTGCTTCGGTATTTATAGATGGCCCCGGCTCCTAGGGAGCCGTGCAGACACTCATGGGCGCGACAGAACTTCGGGAGGGTGTGGGAGTGAGGAGGGGGCTCTGCTGAGCAGTCATTGACTCAGATGACCATGGACTCCCACTCGTCTTTGTGAGGTTGCTTTTTGGTTTGTGAAAAATATATGCAAAAACATCCCCCTCTTTCAGGCCTGCGCACACCCTTCGATGGAGATCACTATTGTGACCACACTGTCGCTGCCACGCAGGCAAGGGGCTGGCCGGCGCTTGCATCTCTGCAGAACCTGTCCAGGAGGTCCGCCCACCAGCCCCAGGCTAGAGCACACCACACCCGCTTCTTACCGTCAGGGTTTGTTCCCGGGGCTCCGCCCTGCTGTTGCAGCACCCCTGCAGCAATGGAGTTGGGCCAGAATCTTTGGGTGGGTCGGTGCTGCGACTTGATCTTCTTGGCTTTAGGGGCAGGGTCTGGGTTGCTGGCATCAAGCATGGGCTGCAGGATGCGCCTCCGGGCATTGATGAACCTGCTCAGGGGTGAAGGTAGAGACCTGGTTAGTCGCCCCCCACCCCCGGGGTTGTGGGGTTTGTGTGTGTGTGTGCATGTGCATGTGTGTGTGCGCGTGCGCCGTACAGGGAGTGAGAGCCTCTTCCAGACTCTCATAGGCTGATCCACTGTACAGAACAGACTGGGGGCTCATCTAGGGTGTGAAAGCCTAGCTGGGAGAAGAGCCCTGGGCACTGCAGGGCTCATGGAATCACCTGGAGCTTGGTAACCACAAAGCAGCATGGGAAGGATGCATGAGGAGGGTCAGAAATCTCTACTCAGGACTCATCAGGATTGAACAGAGGAAGTAGGGGTCCCCTTAGAAGCACTAAACCCTGACTTTTCTCCAGGGCCCAGGGCTCAGATCAGGGACTCCAAATCTTGGGTCTACCCGCACCCAACCAGACCTTGCTCTCTGAGATTTCTGTGACAACCCAGCCAGACACAGAGAAGGGGAAAACAGATGCCTGTGAAGTCAGAACAGCCAACTCTCCCTCCTCCTTCCCACCCCAGCTTTGCAGAATGTTATAGTTTTTCAGTTTACAGAGGTGATGGGTAGACCAGATGACCACTGGCGGCTCCTCCAGAACTTGGACGCCTGCATTCCTCCTGTGTGTGTCTGCAGTGCAGGCAGGGCTGGGCTTTCTATTCAGCAGGAAGCTTCCAGTGATGTTCCTGACACAATCTCCCAGCAGAGGGCACTGAGAAGCTGCAGATGAAGCTCTAGGCAGTTGGGCTGATTCTAGCTTTCTGCTTCTAGCCCAAAGGGGAGGACTGCTGTGGCAGCTGGGCTGGGCTGAGCTGTCTCTGTTCCCTGCTATGCATTCTCTTGTCAAGCAAGTGGCCCCCGGATCTGAGAGCCTTTGGGCGGGTGATAACTCACCAGTTATTTACTTGCAGGAGGGTGAGGTTTGTCTGGGCTGCGATCTGCCTCTTCTCATCCTCCGTGGGGTAGGGGTGCTGAAATGAGAGGTGAAGGGCTAATGCGGGGTGGGCACATGGTGGCCTGGTCCCTCTAGAGACCATGCCTACGTCACAGGCGCTATCTTGGCCCAGGCAGCCCAGCGGTTTGGGAGCCTAATTGGGGAAAGTACAATTTTTGTTTCCCAAAAGCAATGGGACTAGGGCTTGGGGGAGGCTACCCCATGTCTGTGGCTCCACAGTCAGGACCATCAGGCCCTCAGTGCAACCTCCCCCCAAGATGGGAGACCAAATTGCTTTCCCAAGAGTCAGTACAGTCCTATATCGATAGCTTCCAAGGCACTTTCACATCCTGACTTGGTCCTCACAGCCAACCCCCAGCAGGCAGGTCAAGCATTATTAGTATTAGGTTGACTATGGCCTCAAAAGCCCACAGGACTATCAGAGGGTGGTAAATGGGGGTATCTGAACCAATTCAATTTAAATTGACTGAAATTTACTGCATATCTACTCTGTGCCCAGATTTATGCAGGCATCCCAGGAGACAGAAGATAAACATAATGATAACTACTAGTTGTAGAACACTCGGTAACCTGTGAAAGGTTGTCGTGCACTTAATTTCATTTAACAAAGCACATCGCTAACATTTTATCAGGTAGGCAGGTTAAGTATTGTTATTCCCAGTTTACAGCTGAAGAAACTGAGTAATTTCTCCAGTGTTCCCTCAGGGGGTGGCACCAGCTTGGGACTCAGTTCTTTTCATCTTGGTCCAGTCTCCCTCCCTTAATCATGCTGCCACTTTGTAAGACTGAGTCTGTGTCTTTGTGGTGGTGAGTGAGGAAGTGGTGTGTCCCCGGGCACTTCAGTCCCTGCACTGATGACATGCTTGTCTCCCACTCTTAGACTGTGCTTCATGAGGGCAGAGACCATGTCTTATTAATTCGTCTTATTAATGTATCCCCAGTGCCTTCCACATGCAAATGACATGCAAATGACTCCTGAGTGAAAGAAAGCAGAAAAAAAGCAAAGGTTGGGTGGTTTGGGTAATGGGCCCTATAGAAGGTTAGAAGGAGAAATGCGTTGGCCACAGCATTGGGAAGGCTGCACAGGTCCCATTAAGATGAGAAAGTTTGGGGTGATGGTGGAATAGGGGTCCTTGTGGGTCCCCCTGGGTGGTGAGCCGCATGGTAACTGGGTCTCTGCGTCTTTGTGTCTCCCCCAGGTCCCCGCACCCACACCTTGCACCCAGTAGGCATGCAGTAAAGATGTGATGAGTATCGGAATGGGTGGGAGCCTTGCCCTGAAGCGAGGGGAGATCTGGGCCTCTTAGGGCAGAGGACCAAGCTGTCCAGCCTCCTCCAGCCAGGGCCATTCCTCATGACTGAGGTGGCATTACACAGAGCTGCTTGGGCTTTCTGAAGTCCCAGAGACTGGGCCTCAGATTCTGGCTCTGTCACGACATGCTGTGAGGTCTCAGGCATGTCCCTTAGCCCTACATCATAAAGTCGTCTAGTGATTAAATGAAATTGTACTTGTTAAAGTGCTTGCGAGGAGGTGGCTCTTCACACTATTATTATGGGATGATGTGGGTGAGGGGCTTAAGGCTGTCTAAGGAATGAGCGTGAGGGCAACAGCCTCGGAAGTGCTCTCATTATCAACGACAAAGGCGAGCAACCTCTGTAGTTGACCCCAGCAGCCCCTGACCAAGACAGTCAGGGTCATGTGTTGTTTTAATTCACACCTCTGACCCTGGCCACCATGCCAGGGCAGCTGGGCCTTGGGATTCATCCAATATTAAGATTCTAACAAGGAGGAAAACACCAATGGGACCACCACCCAGGTCAACTAGGAGACAACTTCTTCCTGACTGGGAAGGAACACAAGAAGGCTGGGAGGTGAGATTGCAGGCCCCAGGGTGCAAAGGAGTGGGGGCTCCATGCTTCCAACACCTTCTGGGGAAGGGGTGGGGCCCATGCCCTATTTTCCTGCTGCATGGAGTTCCAATTCCCCTAGCCGTGAGAAGGAGCCACGCAGCCTCCCTGTCCATGGCCACTTGGTCTGTGAACCCAGCAAAAACAGGGCAACTCTCTGGTCTACCCGGACTGCACTAGCCCCTTTCATGCCTTCTTGCACCTGCTGTTCCCTCTGCTGCAACGCTCTTTCCCCCACTTTTCCACTGTGTGTGTTTCTGAGCTTCTGGAAAGACCTGCCAGAGATCAGATCCTCTGTGAGGCATTTCCCAAATTCCTGGGGCAGAGTTCGTCATGGCTGTGTTTGAATAATGGCCTTTAGCCTGCTATATGGTAATAGGTCTCCCTACGAGACTGGAGAGCTGCTCTCAGGGAGGACTTCCCGGTGGCACTTCAGCTGGACTTTGAAGAACGGCCAAGCCATCCCAGCAAAGGCAGGGATGGGCCTTCCAGGCACGAGCCTTGCACCAAGACTTACACTGAAGCCAGCTAGATGCAAGTCTCTTCTTCTACTCTTTTTTTTTTTAATTTTATTTATTTATTTGAGAGAGAGAGAATGAGAGAGAGCACATGAGAGGGGGGAGGGTCAGAGGGAGAAGCAGACTCCCTGCCGAGCAGGGAGCCCGATGCGGGACTTGATCCCGGGACTTCAGGATCATGACCTGAGCCGAAGGCAGTCGCTTAACCAACTGAGCCACCCAGGCGCCCTCTTCTTCTACTCTTAAAGACCTCCGGGGAAGGAAATCCTTCAGCCTCCCATGGAGGGATAGTGTGTGCTGTCTCTAAGGAGGTTCCTGGCGCAGGCCTCCGTTCTGAGTGGATGTCGTAAATCCAGAGGTTAACATGCTCTCATTGAATGGAGAGGGTGGGAGGCAGTGTCACGGAATCTGGCTGGTTGTCCTCGTATGAGGACATAAAGCAAAATAAACCTTTTATCCTCCCACCGTGCAAATCCCACCACCCATCCCGTCTGGAACCAGCATCTCAGGAGGCACGTGGTGGGGGCCATGGGGTTAGTGGCAGCTTTGGCCCAGCTCTGGGGACAGGTGTGTCGGCCAGAACATTCCTGGCACCACATCTGAGTGCTCACAGGAGCAGTCCAGCTTGTACATGCCTTAGACCAGATGATTCCTGAGGACAGAGTCAAAATAGTCCTGGCTCCTGGACAGACCTCGATTTGCTCAGTGCTACTTTTAGCACAATTGGAAAGGCTCCGGGCCAAGGATGGGAAGAGGAATCAAGTGAGATCGTGGTAAGCCCCCAAGCCATGGTAGCCACTCTCTGGGCACTGTTTGGAAGAACTCCTCTGGAGTTGGGAGGGAAGCAGGCAGCAGCTTTCTGGAAGCAGATAATCCTTCCAGAAAAAGAGATACAGAATGGACCAGAAAATGACAGATCCTTCTCAGGGTGGGCATGGAGCTTCATGCGACGAGGCAGAGCTGCCTGGTGGTCAAGAACACGGCCTCTGGAGAGGTCAAGTCCTGCACCCCCCAACTTACCAGCTCTGTGAGCTTGGCAATTTGTTGTTCTCCATTTCCCATCCTTAGTTTCCTTGGCTTAAAATGGAAATAACAGAATAGCGTGTACCTCTGGGACTTGGGGGCTGATTTAATGAGATAACGCAGGTAAAGCATGTGTGCTTCACGGACTCACTCTGGACAATGTAGCGAAGCCTCCCAGATGTCACAGAGCCTGCTGTGCAGTCTCCAGAGAAAGGAACTGCAGAGTTTACACAGAGTGGGTGTTTCGTGGTGGCCCAGCTGCCATCAGGAAGTTCCTCCAAAATCTGACCTAAACTCTTTCCTGCCTCTTTCTGATACCTTGCTTTGCAGCCTCCTAACTCAGGTCTCCCCTGCCCTAAATTGAAGCTGAAGGCATCTTTCAGTTGAAGGCTGAGTTCCACCTGCAGTGCTGGGTCTGGAAGAAGTGTGGCCAGGGCTGGTTCATGGGTCCCTGGCCACTCCCTTCACTCCAAGCCCACCCCAAGACTGTCCTTCCTCCTCCCAGGGCAAGCAGATGAGCATGAGGCTGGCCAGTCACTGAGGGGCAGAGCACAGGGCAAATGGGGGCCTGCTGGCATCCGTGGCCTTGTGCTGCTGGTGAAGCAGGGTTTGGAGCCAGATTTCCTTCCCCACTTACCCTCCAAGACCAAGCACCACACTGGCATCAACGACAGCCGTCTTCCCTTCTGGCTCCTGACCAAATGTGGGCACGCACCCTGCGGCAGCCCCAACTCTGAGGGCCTGGCCTTGCTCTAGGAGGGTCAGACGCCAACCCCACGGAGGCAGTCGGCATGGTGAGGGGCCCCAAAACAATCACATTTCATCACATCTGAGATGCCATTGATGGCAGGGTGCACCCTGATTTCACAGATGCTAAGTGGGAAAAAACAAGTCTTCTAGAGTGGAGAGAAGCCCAGTAAGCCACCAGAGGAATTCTTCTTTCTTACTATCATGCACCTCCTGCAGACCTTCCATTATTTTATCTCTCCTTTTTACTCCCCTCCCCCTTATAATTATACCTGCACAGAAAGGTCCAGAGAACTAAAATGTATAGCTTTATCTATCATCACAAACACCAATGGGACCACAACTCAGGTCAAAAAATAAGATACTACCAGCACCCAAAAGCCCCCCTTGTACCCCTTCCTAATCACTACCCTCAAAGATATCCTCCCCAAAGATAACCTGGTTTTTACGGTAATTACTTTCTTGCTTTTCTTTATAGTTTTCCTATCTATGTTACATCCTTAAACATTATAGTTTACTTTTGCCTGGTGTTTGGACCCTATATACATGGAATCCACTGGCATGCAGGATTTCACTCCACAGTACAGGTGTGAGACTAATCTATAATTACTGAAGCTATTCATTTTCATTGCTGCATAGTTTTCCCTTATAAAAAAATCTGCCGCCTCTTGGTTCTTCACCCTCTCGCAATCTTGGAACTATTCTCCCTCCCTCTGGTTTCTATTTCAGTCCATCCTTCCTGCCGCAGCAAGCAAGACTGGTCCTTCCTAACCTGCCCCCAGTGCCTCATGCCCACTGAGACACCTCTCCTATGAGCTAA